CCCAATTTAAGGCTTTACAAATATAAAAGCTAAACTCATTAATTATCCATTTGTTATCAATTTTCTAAGTGAATAATATAGTTCTTATCCATATTTGATCCGTTTCTAAAAAGTTCATTATCCAGCCCATTTTTTAATGAATAATATAGGTGGATAACTGCTTTCTTTTAACCATTTTGCCACCACTATTAATCACGTAATAAGATAATTTTTCATTATATTCCCTTTACAAAAATTTCAGCTGCCAATTTTGCAACTGTCAAGCTTCACTACCAAAAACATGGATAGGTGAAGTATAGCAAAGATGCTGCAGTACCCTCTATGGTTGAACAATTTTAAATATATTTATATTTATATTAAGTTTGTACCTGCTACAACAAACTAGTAAGTGGCATATTAGTGTTCGATGTTTATTGATCTAAAATCTTAGAATCATCTCTGACCATTTGGCTCGTACTGTCATGAGTAGTAAGTCGGATTATCAGTAATTAAGCTGTAAGTATTGTTTAATTTATCGCGTGGCCTCCATCATTAAAGCATAAGATGTGAATTATTATTGAGAGAAGGTCGTGAAACGACCTATTACTTCAAGGTAGTAACTATCATAATAAATATTTCTTGTCCAAGTTGAACCATCTACCAGGTGTATGGTGACAGATTCTTCATTCTTGGCGTGGAGTTTTCAAAACTTGTTTTTTTATACTAGTATGATTGATGGCATTTTTTTAGTCTTTCTTCTTTCTTGGAGTTTTCAAAAGTTATTTTTTATACTATTAGATGCAATATCTTAATATTCAGATATACATTTAGATTCATACATCTTAATCTTATAAAAATAAATGAGGGTGAAATATTGAGATGACCTTAGGGTCAGGGACATTAACTAGTAAAGTGGTCCACGGATCGGAGAAGTAGAGTATCTGGATTGCTTAAAAGAAATGTATGATTAATATTTAACGACGATGGATTTCGACGTCCGACACATCAATAGCAGTAGCTTTCTCGGGTTGTGACATTCTACCAAAATTAATTACTATAACTTTGATGGGATTGAAGCCGGCCATTACGGAAACGTATAAGCCTTTCTTCATAGTGAGATCTTCTTCACATATAAAAATAAAATTGGAGAATGGAGAGTAAATAACATTCAAAGTTTGTACTTGACTTGCTCCTTTTTTTTAAAGTTAGCTAAGAGAATGTCGTGCAAGCAAGCTAAGTAGAATTAATTAGAATAAAAATAGTGCAAATTGATCAGTTTAAGAATAAAGCAAGAAGGTCGTGAGGTAATGTGATTTTTCGTCTTAAGCTTATTCCTTTTGAACTATGTGCAAATGGAAAGCGGGGCCTGCCACCATTAAAATACAACAAAAATAATACTATACCCCTACTTTGTGGGGGCAAGTACACATATAGTTATTCTTAGGGATGCTATTTAGAGATTACCCAATATTTATTTTGTACTGAAATTTTAAACTAAAAATCTTAATTTATGACAATTCAAATATTTTTGTCCTAAAAATTTGAACTGAAAAACTGAAGTTTAGGACGTGCTGAGTAATTCTTAAATAGTATCCCTTTAGAGTGGCTACCTGGTACCATTTATGTAGAGATATTATTTCCGGTAGATCTTCAGCTCATAAGAATGACTTTGTACTCGTAACATTGCTCTTCGAACTATGGCAATTTTGCAACTGCAATTTCTCGAAGAAAAAAATCACATTGTTCATCCCAAAAAAGCTGCCAAAATAGTCAACTCATCTACCCCTCTTGCTTTTCCTTTCAAAAAACACTTGGAGACGTGAAATTAATAAGTATTTGTTGCTCATCCCTCTCTTTTAGAAATGTCAGTCAAGCCACATCCCCCTTTATTCCCTTGAGAGTTTTTTATTGTTAGTTTAACTCAAGTGGAACAAGAAGAAAAGAATTTGCAATATTTATTTATCAAGTAGTAATAGAAGATACCCTGGTTGATGATTTCTGGGCTAACTAGAATGAGATGTTCATGTTGGTAGGTCAGAATTTAGGACATATGCTTGGTTGGCAGATATCTAGCTGTAGGGACGGACTGGCTCTTTGGGCTGAATTCGTAGCATGAAATTTGCATTATCTATTTGTGGCCCTTCACCAAATCAACACAAGCTATGTTAATAATGTAGAGATCCCCTGTCAGAATATAGACGCAGAAGAAAAAAGACCAATTGATCATTGATCAAAGGTATCCATTGATTTTTTTGAATTACATTTGTTATTCAGAATTCACTGGCCCGACTAATCTAGATTTGCGTACAATAAGACTCATTAAAGGAGAAAATGCTCCTTATCAGGGTTTCTTCATTTCCAAGGCTCAAAATATCTGGTTAAGGATAAAAAAATCACATTCATCCCACTACACCCATCGGTAATAAGTTATTCATTGTTGATGGTCTTCGAGGCTCCCCAAGTGTATATCGTACTTAATGCTCTTATTTCTTTTTTATTAAATAGTACTCCCTCCATTCCAGTTGATGTGGTAGCATTTTTTCTTATCCATTCCACTAAAACTAAGAGATTTTTAAATTGAAAATATTTTAACTTAAACTATCAGTTTTAACTTTAATGATAATCTTTTATAGCCACATAAAAATTAATATTATTTTTAATAAGTAAGTTTTAAAATTTTGTATTTCTTTCAAACTCCATCGTCAATCAAACTTTGCTAAATAATTTGACACAGATGCATTACTAATTATTAAATTAAATAACCATGTGAAATCCGTTGACTACGCCTTACCCGCGATGTCCTTTTAACTTTGTTTTTCCCCAAATTATATGGAGTAATTTTTCCTCAATTTTCACGTTATAGCTACTCTTTGTACCATCTACTCTAGAATATTTTTTCAGGTTAAGGCCACTTGCACGGGTGGAGTTAGAAGCCCGAATATAAGTTCGGCTTTACTCAGTAACTTTTGTTCAAAGAGTGTATTTGTATAAAGAAAATTCATTATATATATATATATATATATATATATATATATATATAACTCAATTATTAACACTTAAAATTATTGTTCTAAAATTAGAACCTATAAAGTAAAATCTTAGCTCTTCATCTGCTTGTAGTTGCTTTCAACCTTTAATGCCAAACCATTTTGGTCCATAGAGAAATTACACTCTCCTCCTGACAAATCAAATGACAAAGTGATGGAAGAGGGTCAGTAACACTTAAAACTTTAAGGCCCAATAGAAATTTCTGTAGAATAGGTACACTACAATTTTGGGCCCAACGGGCTAAACCCTAAAGTTATGCAGACCCACATGAGTAAAGTGATTAGTGATCGTTGAGGGAAATTCAGAAATAGCTTGATTTACAATTACTATTTGAAAATTTACACAGCTTCAAAAGTAATTGAAATTTAGGTACCTTTTCATGTAAAAATAAGATTTAAACCAAAATACCCTAACAATTTCGGAAAAATTTCAGTATAATATACTGGAGTACTAATTTTTTACATATGAAATTCCAGCATAATGTGTTAGAATTTCATAATATGATGGAGTTCCAACATAATATGCTGGACGTTTATATGCAGGTACTCCATAATCCAGCATATTATGCTAGAACATTCTGTGTTTCAACTAGGGTATTTTGTTCAGATTTTATCTCCGCATAAAATAATGGTTATTTTTCAGTGACTTAACAAATATTGACTATTTTTCAATTACCGATTCGAAACTAACTAGCACATACTATTTTCATGGTATCGTTAAAGTCTTTCACACAAAGGTCTAACTCTTATACATTGATAATTTAAAAATAATAGTTAATCAAGTATTTTAGAGAAAAGAATATACGTAGCACTACGCGTGCTCTTCTAATTGCAGACTAGAATGTGCTAGTATGATAGCTGCGAAGATTATGTAATATTAATTTTACCTTCACGCTTACTGGCAATACTCACTTGAAACAAAAAGGTCTGCTGAAACATGTAAAGTAAAAAGACACTGTTCCTTTTAAAGTTATCTAAATATCATTGCTATTTTATCTTACTTGAGTTCAAATTTTGAAAAGATGATAACAAATATTTACCCGCATTCAATGTTTATATTAATATACAAATAGGGGGCGTGGAGATATTACGTACGAAGCTTTACTCTTAGGCGGTTTCAATATTTATATTACACTTAACTTTATTAGTTAAAAATAAAAGTGAAAATTCATGTCACTTTTGCATTCATTTGTTTGTTTGGATGCGAATAAGTTTTTAAAGAATATTTACTCTTGCATTTGAATAGAAAATGCTTCATTGTGAGAAACATCAGTTTTTGTTCTTTGCTCACAATTCTAGATTGTACCTGAAATATATTGTGAGGATACACAGACCTTCAAAATTGTGACAATTGGAACAACAAGAGAAACCCTTTAGTTGTTACTTTTTTATTTTGGTCCAAAATAAGTGCCTATTTATATAATCAAGAAAAAATTCAATTTGTTTTTATAAAATTACTCTTATGTACATGTTCCTAGAAAATTTTCATACTCCTCACATTAAATATTTAATTAAGGATAGTTTAGTCATACTAGGTATTTTTGTATAGTATTTAATATTTTCTTAATGAGCGTGACAAAAGCAAATTGGTCACTTATTGTGGACTGGAGGGATTACTAAATAATGCTCCCTCCGGTCCACAATAAGTGACCAATTTACTTTGGACACACCCATTAAGGAAATACTAAATTCTAGACGAAAATAGTTAGTGTGACTAAACTACCCTTCATTAAATGAAGCACCATAGTTATAGTAGCACTTACTTCTCTTTTTCTCTTTTCAGATGTGATGAGTAAATGACTTTTGAGTGATACGTACACAAGGGTAATTTTGAAAAAACAAATTGAATTGTTTCTTGATTATATAAATGGACACTTATTTTGGACCAAAATAAAAAAATAAATTGATTAGTTATTTATTGTGGGCCGGAGGGAGTAGTTGAAGAAAATAAAATGGTATGTGTAACTTGTAAACTAAAGATCAAGATAGGTCTTCTATTCAGAAAAAAAAAAATGTTTAGCATTACAAAGAGTAAATAAAATGCTATTTTGAATGTGAAGAACCACCTTGATCACCAACAAGACTAGTTGGCCTAATTAATAAATGGTGGTAAAATTTTTGTCACCTCCTTTGAGTGTAATTGGAGTTCGAATTCTGCAGCTTTTGCTATAACTATAAGCCTTTGCATCAGATATTAAATGTTGTCTGAACATTGCTATAAATGCCTCTGCTCTCTCATTTAATTCCTCCATTGAAATTTGCTGAGTTTCATCTATAGATTCATCTAATTGGTCTTCTTTGTTTTCCCTCTTGTCTATTACTATTGTATAATCCTCTTTGACTTCCTTTGTTACTTCTTCAAATACTTCATCTACTAAAGGCACCACCAAACGTTTCTTGCATTCTTCCACCCTCTTCTTCTGTTGAAGACATAATAAATGTAAATAAATAAAATTTGCAAAATCATGTGTTGCTTTGCTGCTAAAAAAGAATCAGACTCGCAGAGGAACATGTTGAAGACATAATAAATAAATAAAATAAAGTGTGCTCTTAAAATATATGTTGTTTCAACTTTTCGAAAATAATGTCACATCCTATCAGATCCTCCAAAAATACACTATTTTTTAAGGATCCGACACGCGCACAAACTGCATTTTTAAGAGTTCGAGCAACATAGCTTAAAACAGTTCAAGCGTTTAAGCTAGTGTTTGAACATAAATTTAGCTGAAACTTTGAAAAAAATAAGTTTTTGAAGATGAGATGAAAAATAGTGTTTGAAAGTTCAAATTGTAACAGCCTAGCACATTAGTGATATTGTCCGCTTTGGGACTAGTCCCGCACGGCTTTAAAATGTGTCACTATGATCTAAAATCTGTTTAGATATATACCCAGCATGTAGTTGGGCATGCATTTTATTTCAAAAGAATTTGAAGTTTTATGAGTAAAAAAAACTTCAAAAAAAAATACACTAGAGTCGTTTTGGGATTTGAAGATTTTATTTTGAAATCTGCCAAAAAATGGTTAAAATCTATAAATATTTGAAAATAAATTTTAAAAAAAGAGCTTTCAAATTTTCTGGCCAAACTGGAACTAAATGTAATGGTCACATAATTCAACATGTTCTCACCTCAATCTTGGATTGTTCAGTAGTGTCACTGATGCATTCTGGGCTGGTTTCTTCAACTATTGGAGTAATTGGTGTACTTCTAGATGTGAAAAGAATAGCTAAAAGCAAGAGATTAAGAGCAAGAAATGCAATTACTCGCCACTGCTCTACAAAGGAAACTAACATAGCACGTTCCAAACATGCCATTAAAGCAGCTACTCCAGCAGCAAACCATACTGCCTGTAATTTATCTTGTTTCTTTCTATCCTCCATTCCTACAACCATCACCATTGCTATTTTCTTAACACAATGTTACAAAGAGAATGGGGTAAAAGGGATTTTTATAGAGAGGGTAGAAGGGAAAAATAAGGCATGAGTTTGGTGTATATTTACGTGAAATGCCATAGTTTTTAATCATCAAGTGATGTGACAAGAGAGAATGTCTTTTGAGGGACAAGAAAACATTCTCATAAACTATCACAGAAACCTCTGCACTCTGCTTGCTGTATCTTATCATTTGCTTCTACTGATTTATTCTATCTTTACTTAATTGTTTGTTACTGTTTGGCTTTTTCAATTTCAGGCGTGCACCGGCTTTTTTACCATTAACATGATACCAAAAAGTAATTTAAACTTAAGGATAATATTACTATGTGTCTATGCAAGTGATTGGATCAACTTCTTTAATAAACTAATGCTTTAGAATATTCTCATCTTATACCAATCACCACCTTGAAATTTGAAATCCTGCTTCTCTACAATAGTTTTTCCTTCTTTTTTTTCCCCCACATAATTTGTTATAAAAGGACACTTTTGTTGATGCATTAATTCAATATTTCTCTCTAACTCTGAATTAGTTTGAGGCCTCTGCCCCTTTTTGAATATGTATTATTGCGCCCTTATCTTTAGAGGGTGAGATTGGCGGCGTTTCTTTTATAGTACATTTAACTCTTGTAAAATCTTTCATCTGTCCGAGCATCCAATACTTAAAGTAAGTGAGTTTTAAATTGATAAGTAGCATAGGTATTAAAGGTGAAATGGTGACTATTGGTCATGATAATTCGAACATTAATATCCATATTCAACAGGCAATGCATTACAGTATTAGGCATATGAGGCTGAGGGCATGCTAAGTGGGCGTTTGGACATACGAATAGGAAAATTCCAAAACAGGGTGAAAACTTTTTTTTTTTTTAAGTGAAAATGGAATTTGAAATTTAGAGTTGCGTTTGGATATGAATATAGTTTTGGGTCGTTTTTGAAGTTTTGTGAGTGAAAATTTTGAAAAACTGCTTTTTAGAGTTTTTTAAATTTTCGAAAATTTTCAAAATGCTTCTTCAAATGAAAATTAGAAATTTTATGAACAAACACTGATTTCGAAAAAAAGTGAATTTTTTTTTAAAAAAAGAGAAAAATTTCATACGTCCAAATGGGCTCTAACAACTGAATGAATATGAATTTGTGGTGGCAAAATAGTTAAAAGAAAATAGTTATCCATCCATATTATCTATTCAAAAATAGGTTGGATGAACAACTTTTTAAAACGGGTCAAATATGGATAAGAACCATATTATCTACTTAGAAAATGGATAACTAATGGATAACCAATATATAACTAATGGGTTTAACTTTTACACTTGTAAAGCCTCAAATTGAGGGTTTCTTAAGTTGTAGACTAGGAATTCTCTCAAAGTGATCATATTCAAGAAGCCGTGGATAATATGGATATCCACATTATTCGCTGGTTAACCTATTTTTTTATCCGTATTAAATATGTGTCGGGTCGCATAATTTATTCATTTTGCCATTACCCGTTTTCAACCCGCCCATATATGACCCAACCCGCCCGTTTGGCATCCCTAAGTAGGATTAAAGGGCGTCGGCTTAGCGGTCAATGAAGTGTGTTGAGAACCATAAGGTTTTAAGTTTAAATTTTAGCGGAAGTAAAAATATTAGGAGATAACAAATACCTCGTGGAATTAATCGAAATGTGCGCAAGTTGATCCTGAAACGGCAGGTGGTTAAAAAATAACTGAATGAATAGGGAATCCTATGTGATAAGAGAAGTGGATGGAATGTGTCAACAGTACATGGGAGAGCTTAAAGGCACGCCAACGTCCTTTGATGTTTTCCATTAACACAATATGACCCCACTTGTGTCCGATATGTGCACATCATCACTATTACTATCCAAACATATTTTTGTTGGTTCAGGTCAACCATGTCCCTCAAACACCGAATGAGTAAAATCCTACTAAGTACTACTTTGTTCAGCTACTATTACTTGAATTTCTTCTACTTTGTTGCAACATAGAAACAAGACATCATATTGTGGCCACAGGCCATTGGAAGGAGAAGAATGAAAGAAACGATTATCACTATCCATGAGCCCACAAAATAGCAAGTTCAGAACAATCCAGCAGAAAAAAGAGGATGAGTAGGACAAAGTTTACATTTGATGTTTACTTGAACAGTTTCAAGCTATGTTTTGAATAACTTGTTGCATTTTGAGCCTGGGAAATAAGAACCATTTTGTTCGGGAGCACTTTATTCCTTTAGTGGACCTTCCACACAAAATAATCAAATCAATTGTGTTAGTGAATGTTGGACTCCGAGAGGTTAAACAAGAAAAAATAACTTGTTCTTGTTGCCATAAACTCACATTGCTTTGCAAAAAAGATGAAAAGATGTCCAAACTGGCTGGTGAATTACCATTTAAATAACACACGAACAATCATACATCAATATGATTTTAAGTTGAATATTATCAGCGGCTGGGACTTGTCCTAATCAATTGTAGTTCTTTTGTGTTTTAGCTCTTCTTGTATTATGTTGTGAATTTTATTTATCAAATGTTTGCGTTATATTCGAAAAGAGACATGTTATTTACGAGTAGCCCTGTCTTGTAAATGTTTGCTTATTGTTGGGTGTTTTTAGTGAAAAGTTACCCAACAAGGTAAATAGAAGTAGAAAATGTTCCTTAAATAGGGCTTTTTTCTTCTGGCATTTGGTCACGGTCAAGGTAGTAGACAGTGGGCGTCTCATGCAAATGAGTCACAGACTTGACCTTTTCTTCCTTAATGTAAATTCTTTTTTATTATTTGAGCTTCTTCCACACACAACGCCTAGAGGAAGAAATCTTTCTACAGAAACTGCTCGAGAATATGTGAGATCATGTTTCTGGAAAGCTACCAAGCTAAGATCAGGTTCACCACTTTGCTTGTGCCAAAAGCAGTTTGTCATGGATAGTTTTTGCCTAAAGATAAACTGGCTTATACACCTTCAGTAGGTTGAAACCCATTGTGCTGTTTCCTCAAGATAAAGAATAAAAGAATAGATAATGACACTCAAAAAACAGCTCAACTATGATAATGCCTGGATAATTACACGATGATCCCGCCAAAGATGGAAAAGAACAGCGCATCTACTATATATTAAGCCATTGATGCGGTATCAGGAAATTGAATAAATATGCGACTACATTGCCCAAAAGCCTTATAAATTTATGGTCTTCAACACCCATAGGGACTGCAAAACTACTACCACCAGCTTCTTCCTGACAGAGAGACAAGCTGCAAGATTGGAGGAAAACAATATTTCCAGAAATTTCAGACATCTAGAAAAGCTATTATAAGAAATAAAAGGATCAATGTATATTTATATATATGAATCCAATCGAGTAGATGCGGATAAAAGCTGAAACACCAATTTATAAAATGGTTTCACTAGCTTCTATTGTAGCTTAGAAGATTTCCACCTAGAACTCTGATTCTATTTCAATTAATTGGTCCTCTATTTAAGAAACAAAGAACTTGTCTTGAGAATTGCAAGTATGCAACAGCATTAAACTAGATGATCTCAGTTCCTAAGTAGCATTATTTGAAAATAAATGGTAACATTTAATTAAGACAATACTACTTCCAAAAGACCTTTTTGTCTGAATCATATGCCTCTGTTAACTTACTCATAGAAGACTTCCAGATACTGGGGTATAGAGATATCAACTTTTCAAAGATGTGTCATCAGGACACAGCATAAAACAATAAGCACAATTCAAAATGTCACAGAGCAAATAATATGGACTCCTGAAATTATTGAGATTTACTACTACTAACCTGACGAGCAACCTGCACCAACTGTTTACTTCTTAAAGGCGAATCCTTCAACGGTTTTGAATCCTTCAATCTTGGATCAGTGTTTTCTATCTCTGCAGACCTTTTCTTCATTGAGCTTACTGGAGAAGGGTTCTCATTTGGATTCAACAAGGAATCCTTCTTACGCTTTCTGCTGAATGTAAACCTGAGAGGTGTCTTGTTGTTACCTTGAACAGGTGATTCCTTACTTCCTTCAGATGCTTTGTCATCTCCAAAGATAGATTCAACTGGTAACATGGTCACGTCAAGCAGTGATTTATCATCACCCTCCTCTACAATCACCGAGACATCTATCAACTCTTTGTCGTCGTTTGAATCTGCACTTGCAGACTCTCTACATATCTTGTTATCTGTTAGAAAACCTGCACCCTCTTCAATATCGCCTTCATTTGTTAATTTAGTGGATTTCATGGTGCATTCAACTGCATTACACTTGCTATGAGAAAAAGATGGACACTGCTGACCAGGTCTGGTCAGGTGATTAGAGTGGGAGCTATGTGACAATGATGCAGGAAAACTGTTGTCCAAGTATTTGACGCGTCTTTTCCTAATACTTCTACGAGCAACAGCAATGGTTAGATCCTTGTTTCGTGGCTCTCTTTTACCCAACAAGAAAGAACTTCCTGCTGCGTTTTCTCTCTCAGTATTAGTGGAAGGACTATCAGGACTGTCATAATAAGCGCCTGCATGCAAGTATCTTGCAGAACGAGAAATTGTTGTCAATGGTCGTTGTGATAACATGAGCTTATTACAACGAACCTTGCAAGAGCTATTTTTGGTTTTGCCATATTGAGCTTTTCTTCGTCTTTTTCCTCGGAATGTATAGGGCCGCTGCTTAGAGGAAAGGCCTTTAAGTGGTTTTTCACCAACTAAATTCTCTATTTTCTTAGCTTTAGTCACTGGCACATTGTGTGCTCCAGCATCTCGTCCACTTGGTTCAGTAACCTGTGTAACTTCAATGGGAAAACTTGGATCATCTCCAGAATGCAATCTCTCATCTGCTAAGCTCATCTCTATTGAACAATATCCATTTTGATAAATCTCAGGCTCATTGCTTTTCACAATCTCTGCAGCCAAAATATGATTGTCTGTTGAGTAATTGCACAATGCTATGTCTGACATGAGTGCTGATTTGCAGACATTGGATCCCAATTCAGTAGGGAAATTTAATGACTCAAAATTATTTAGCTTTGACTGAATACTCTTGCGACACACCAAATCTTCTTTTACATGTGGTCTCAAGTAATGGAGATGCTTATTCTTCTCCTCATTCAACTGCTCCCGCACATTGTATAATTCTGCTCTAAGATCTATTATCATCCCTTCCGCTTCATTAAGCTGAGCTTCTAATTCATCAATTCTTCTTTGCTTATTTTGGGACAATCTTTCAGCTTCAGTTGTCTGCAATAAAGGTAAGGCAGACCACTTGAAACTGTGAGATACAGGAATCAACATCCTGCTAGGATATACTATTTATGTCTTTCTAGTGAAATCACTTCAAAGTATATAGAAAACCAATAACAGACAAGTACATAGTACAGTTGTTTCACCAAATGTCTCAGCTTTTAAATCCTCATGCACGCATTTAGATTCAAAAAAGAAAAATCTGGTGCCGTGCTAATTAAGTCTCCAAGTTTTTGAAGGGAAGAAGCAATATCCAGCTACATTACCAGCACCAGCATAATTTTAATAGTGACCTCTGTGGTACTTTAACTCCATTGATGTTAGACAACGGAGAACATTTGTACAATAAGTAAGCTTTAAATTCTTTTGCCGTTGGACTCACTGAAGTCATTATAAATTTTTCTTCCAGTTCCCTCAGGTTTTTCCTTCTAAACACGCCTGGTTGTCTTGCAACTTCAAGTTACTAATACTCTCGTTTTTTTTTTTTTTTTTTTTTTTTGTGGTTAACATTGCTGGTATAGCACTCAATCTGTTATGAGTTCTATTCAGTATAATGCTACATTTTCAACAAAATTGAGAAGTCACCATTAGTCATATCTTTAGGGAGTGCTATATAATCGAGAAAGCCTATCAATCATATAGCTTGTAGAAGGATATATGACAAAACACATTAAAATAACTGCAACAGTGTATTGGTTGAAATAACAGACATGTGAGGACGAACATAATCAAATAATTGTTATGTTTATCGACTGAGCCTTTGTTAAAGTGTCCTACGCAAAACAAAACCAAAGGAAAAAACAAGAGATGGAGAAAAATATAGCATTACTCTCCTAAACTCTAAAGACAGATAAATCTAATGGAGCACTCATTATACTATACTAAGAATAAGATTATTCAATGTATAATTGCTTCAAAAACAAAAGTTAAATTCGGTATAAATGAAGAGACATGATAAGTCGTCAAACCAAACAATTCAATCAATCAAACAAGTAAGCAACTTAAGTAGAATATTCACAATTTGGAACTACCTTAGCATCAATCATCGATTTCAAACGAAGAAGCATTCGAAGGGCTTCCTCTTTAGTGGAATGCAAATCCTGCTGAAATTTAAGGGCTTTTTGCTCTGAGACCATGACCCGCGCTGCCGCCTCCTTTGCCATATTCAGAATTATCTCCGCATATGCTTTCTTCAGAGCCTCCATTTTCTACTACCCAAACAAACACTGATCCAACAAATACTTAGTTAAAATAATTTAATACAAATATTTATTTATACTAAATAGAATTCATCAATTCAATGTCACAAATAAAAAGGGGATCGAATAGTATTCTACCTTACTGATTTAAAATGTTAAATCTGCTTCTATAGCTCATCCATGGCCGTAATAATTTGAACAGAATTTACCCTTTTTTTGTGAAGAGAATCGCCGCTTTCAGTTCACACTTTTGAGGTGTTTTTCAGTTGCTAGTTTGGGTAAGTTAAAAAGCGCGCATAAAATTGAGAAGGTAGGCCCCACGAAGGGCGAAATGCTTTTGAAAATTTTCAAAATTTGAATTATAAGTTTATAACCCTCAATTCCTCGTCCTCAACTCAACATCCAAACATCGGAACATCTTTGAATTTTTTTTGTTTGAGTTAAAATTACATCTAGTGATGGTATAAAACAAATTTACATAATTAAATTATTTATTAAGTAATTATAGATAAAAATTACAATCTATTAAAAATGATAATTAATTTATCAGTATATAAAACATTTTTTTATGGAATATCTTTAATTAATCTTATTCTCAAGCGTTTGATGTTTTCGGACAAAGCAGTAATAGGAGTAACTATTTTTGTTTTGTATAAGTGTCTATTTTTCTCAAAAAATCAAAAGATAGTCAAAACATTAAACTTCCTGGACTTAAAATAAGTGTTTTTAAGTTTTTGAAATACTTTAAATTGATATCTAATAATAATCAACAAGATTATTTTTGACTAAATATTATTCATTATAACTCTTCAAATTATTCTTTTATCTTTCCTCATAACGTTTAGATCAGTTATTGGAGCGAAAATAGATTTGGAAAAAATATAAGTAAAAATGGCGTGTGGTAGCTACTATTGAAGGTGATATTTATCTTTTATCCAGCAATTCTAATATGGAGCAAAAATAGCCACTACTGTATTAAAATTAATATGAAAAGACATTTTTACCCTTTCTTCTATTGCTTTTCTTCTCAAACCCTCGCTTCTCTCTGAACTCAGAACTCCGGTTGAGATGGCTTCGTCGTCGGCAACAAAATTCGAAAGCTTTTCTCAAAGTTGAAATTCTCAGTTCTCAAGACAAGAAAAAACACTTTTCTCTTCTTTTTTGTTGTTGATAATTAGTTGTGCTCTTGAACTCAAACTTTGTTGTATTGATTATCTTCAAGCTATTGTTTATATAAGCAAAATTCAGAGCTTGTGTGCGCATACACATAATTGTATTGGTGTCGAATTTTAATTAACAGGGCACATTCTGTCATGTCCTTGATGAGAAGATTAGTTTTATACGGGTACTAGAAAAAAAAAGTTTTTGGATGGGGTTGTCTTTTTTTTGTTGTTGTTGCTTTTAAAAGATAAATCCCTAGGTACTACTGCTCAAAAGTTAAGGGCACTTGTCCTGAACTTCGAGTTCCAAGTTCAAAAGTTAAGGACACTTGGTCCTGAACTTAGAATTACAAATTCAAAAGTTAAGGACACTTGGTCCTGAACTTAGACTAACAAGCTCAAAGTTAAGTACAATAGGTCCTGAACTTAGGCTAAGAAGCCCAAAAGTAAGGACAATAGGTCCTGAACTTAGACTAACAAGCTTAAAAGTTAAGGACACTTGGTCCTGAACTTACAGTTACAAGTTCAAAAGTTAAGGACATGTAGTCCTGAAGTCCTGAAGTTAAGTTCAAAAGTTAAGGACATGTAGTCCTGAAGTCGTGAAGTTAAGTTCAAAAGTTAAGGACATGTAGTCCTGAAGTCCTGAACTTAGAGTTCCAAGTTCAAAAGTTAAGGACATGTAGTACTGAAGTCCTGAACTTAAGTTCAAAAGTTAAGGACATGTAGTCCTGAAGTCCTGAACTTAGAGTTCCAAGTTCAAAAGTTAAGGACATGTAGTACTGAAGTCCTGAACTTAAGTTCAAAAGTTAAGGACATGAGCAGAAGGGTATTTTCGTCCGGGCAGTTAAAGTTTATTAAAGCAATGGCTAAAGACTAAAAATATTTTAAACAATTACTTAAAAGTAAATACATGTGTTATTGTAGCTAACCGTGCACTTCTCTCAAAATAATGCATTTATGGTAGACATTTAATTTAGACCAAAATAAATTTAGCTAAACCGACACTGTTTGGATCGGATGGAATATTTTCTACAAGTATAGCTGAATTTATAGTTAGACAGGTGGTCCCAACCTCGGTTCAAGACCAGCCCGTATATCAACTCTATCTCCTATCATATATGACTAGCTAACTATATAGGAGTTAAGATTGTGTACTAGTTAAGGTTGGTTTTTATTTTCAATTTAAAAACTAGAAACTTCTCAAAAAGAGCAGAAAAAGAAGAAGAAAAGTTTTGAAACTCCAGTTTCGACTGTATAATACAGTTAAATTAGAGACTTAATTAAAAGTTTTTTGCTTGTTCTTCTTACGTTTTTGAAAAATTCTACATTCCTTAACAAATTTAGCCAAACTTTTCTAATCTTTTTTTTTTTTTAATTTTTTCCGAATATATTAAGTACTATTCTTTTTATAATACTTTTTTCTATTTCTCCTATTCTTATTTTTTAACCTTCGAATATGTTTGCTTATGGTGTGCTTCCATATAATTTTGTAACTTCTCATATTTTGCTTCTTTTTTTATTTTTTTTATTTTTCTTAGTTGTTAAACGCAATTTTGTGTTTTACTAACTTTGTTTTCTATTTATTAGGATAAAATAATTACTAATAAAAAATACCTTTTAAACTCATATTTATCTTTTTGTTATTTAAAAAGTGTAAAAACCCATAATTTTCATATTTTACTCATATAAGTTGGTAAATTTTTAAATTCATAATTGAAACTTTTATTAATTATTTAAGTTACGATAATTTTTTTGATGTAAATTACCAATTTATAATTATTTAGTATTTTTATTTATTAAAATATTATTTATTTGGAAGATACTTAGGCCTCATTTGTTTTTTTTAAGATTAAGACGTCTAAATCTGAATACACATATGAATATCAAGATGTGTATTAAGATTAATACATCTGAATCTGAATATACATCTGAATATATTAAGATGTGTATTAAGATTTGAATAGAAATAATTAAGACCGTTTGATTTGTAACATTTGAATGTATAAAATTTATCTTTATTTGAAAATTAATAAACATAAAATTCAAATGAAATACTAACTAATCTAATATTCTATCAATAAAATATATAGTTTTTTAAAATATTATAATTGTTGGTGGTGATGGCTAACGGGTGAATGTCGACTAGAGGCGGTGGTTGGTGGTAGTTTTGGTTGATGATGGTAGTTCATGCTAGTAGCTAGTAGTGATTAGTAGTGGTGGCGATTATGATTGAGGATGGTGGTGGTGGGTGGTGATAGGTAATAATGGCGGGTGGTGGTAATAGTTGTGACTGAGGAAGGTGGTGGGTGGGTGGTGATAAGTTATAAGATGGGCAGTACCGGCTGTGGTTGTTGATGGTGATGGGGTGGTCAGTTGTGGTAGTTGAGGTGGATGAGTGTTGATTGTGGGTGAGAATGATGGTGGTTGGAGTGGTGGGGATAGTGGGTGGTGATGGTTGTGTGACGACCCAAAGGGTCATCACCTGTTCTTCTTACCCATTCTATGCTTCCGAGGCGTTGAAAACCTCATTTATAGTCGCCTCGTTTTGCGTGCACAGTCCGGGTCGTAGCCGAAAAGCTTAAATATGAAATTATGTGAAATATGCTAAATTTTGATATTAAAATGAGCAAATTTGACTTCGGTCAACATTTTGGGTAAACGGACCCGGACCCGTGATTTGACGGTCCCGGAGGGTCCGTAGGAAAATATGGGACTTGGGCGTATGCCCGGAATTGAATTCCGAGGTCCCAAGCCCGAGAAATAAATTTTTGAGTAAAATTGTTTTCTGAAAATAATTAAGGAAATTGGAAAAGATATTTGATTAGAACGTAATGGTATCGGGCCCGTATTTTGGTTTCGGCGCCCGGTACAAGTCTTATATATGGTTTAAGCACTTCCTGTAAAGTTTGATTGAAAACGAACGTCGTTTGACGGGATCCGGACCCTAAATGGGAAATTGATGTTTAATAGGAATTTTGAGAAATCTCATTGATCTCGAGGCTTAATTCGATGTTCATGATGTTATATTGGTGATTTGATCACACAAATATGTTCGCAGGGTGTTTTTGAGGTAGTGTACATACTTGGGTTGGAGTTTCGAGGGCTCGGGTGAGTTTCGAGTAGGTTCCGGGATGCCTTAGACTTAAAAGATCAGATATTGCAGGTTCAGGAAATATTGCAGGCCTCTGAACCCTCTTGCGCGGTCCGCGAGAAATCGCGTGCGGCCGCGGAGGGGCCAGCGCGGCCGCGGTCGCCTTTGAGCGGTCCGCGGTGGATGCTGCGCGGCCGCGGTCGGCCTTGTGCGGTCCGCACGGGGCTATGATCTGCAGGTCTTCAGGGAAGCCTGTGCGGCCGCGGTCCGCACAGGGAGCTTCAGAGGGGTATAAATAAACGGGAATTTCAGTTATTTTACACTTTTCAAAACCCCAAAACATAAGAGGCGATTTTCCAAACAAACTTTCTTCTCCAAAACGATTGGTAAGTGATTTCTAACTCATTTTCTTCACTCCTCAACATCTTCTAACATGATTTCAACTTCAAATCAAAGATTTTCATGGGGAAATTGGGTGTTTTGGATAGAACCTAGGTTTTTTCAAGGATTGGGGAGTTGGACCTCAATTTGAGGTCCGATTTCAAAATAAATTACATATTTGGGTTCGTGGGGGAATGGGTAATCGGGTTTTGGTTCGAACATCGGGTTTTGACCACGTGGGCCCGGGGGCATTTTTGGCCTTTTTGGATAAAACATGGGAAACTTATTTTTATGCATTGGGCTTGATTCATTTAGCATGTATTAATGTAATTAAGTAACTTGTGACTAGATTCGAGCAGATTGGTGGTGGAATCGAGGGGTAAAGCCATAATTGAGACTTGAGTTGAATTCAAAGCATCGAGGTAAGTGTTTGGTTTAACCCTAGCTTGAGGGACTAGGAGTTGAGTCTTATTTGCTAATTGCTTCTTGTTGAGTACGACGTATAGGCATGGTGACGAGTATCTATACGTTGGTGTCTAGCATGACCGTGGGTCTTTAAATTGTGAATATCTGGATTTCATTGTAATGATGATTCCTATTTGTTGTGAAAAGCTTGTGAAAGGAAATTGTGATCTATGAACAACGAGGAGCATTGG